ACTCAGTGTGCAGAGTTTGCCTCACACTGTGGTCTAATTTGGAAAAGAAAGTGGAGCTGCTTGGACCCTGGTATTTGGCTTCTCATTGTGGCTGGAGTTTGTTCACCCAGCCAGAGACTAACAGGCTTAGCATGGGAGTTCAGACAATACCACAGCAAATGCTAAACTAGACCTTTATTTATGACGGCTCTGGATGAGTGTTAATTATTAGCTGAACATAGTATGTTCTAGAGGCTGTTTGCATTACAGCATGGGAAGGGCCAACGGCATGTAAAATGTGTGTGTTGGTAGGCAGAACAGCAGAGCAAACCACTTCAGAAAAGAATAGGGGTTTTTTGTTGTTTCTCTTCACTACATACGCAGTTTTTATTAGTGCCATGTAGCCATAATGAGGGATTTCCATGAAATTATTTAGGAGATTATATATTCGAACATGATTTTATTAAGACAGAATGGATTAACATGGCGATGACGTGCAGCAGGTATATAGGAAGTGCTGACTACATCAGATATATTTCTTGTTCATAGTTGTTTGGAATTCTGGGTTAGGTGTTTTCTTGTCTCTTATGAATCACTGTAGCAGTTTGCAAAAGGGAAAAATGATACGTGATATAGAACAGAATTTACTAGGCATGAAAGGTATTTATTGTGATTTTAGGAATGGTGGTCTGAAGAGGCTTCCTTCTGTCAGATTACAAAATTAATGAGAGTTTTAGATCCATAGGGTTATTTAAAAGAAAAAAGAAAGAATATTAAAGTGTTTTGCACTGTTCTTTCAACTACTAAGCAGCACAAATGTTCTTTAGAGTCATGAAACCACACTCTGAGCAGTGTACATGTGTTTTGTGTATTTTCACTTATTTATAATGAACTACTTCACAGAAATAGCTATTCTTAAACAAGCTAGCAAAACTTTCATTGTGATAGCTGTAACTATGTACCTTAATAATTTACAATCTCACTTTTAATTGGTCTGCCTGGAAATAGGAAAACATAATTATTTTTCTCCTTTGTTAGGTAGTAGAGAATGTAGGAAGGGAAAGGGGTCCTGTGCTTGCTAATTGACCAGGCATTAGCAGACTTCTGAATTAAATCTGTCTTGGAGGTTTGTGCTTGTGATATGTGCATCTTTGTACAATTCAATTATTTGAACATTCCGAGTTAAAAAAATTAACAGGTGAAGAGTGGAAATGTAGTGAAGTGAAAATCAATTAATTTGAATTGAATGCTCTATGAACAGTCCTCACAGAAAACACGTGGAATGTGGTGTAACATCTGATTGATATAATTTTGAGGTCACCTCCTTATTTGGCCCTGAACTAAATTATTTGAGCAAGGCAGGCAGCCTCCCCTTTCACAGGAATGCAGGTTACTTTCCATAGCTGTTCCAGTTGGGTATGTTTGGTATTTGTGTCAGCTTTCGACAAAGACATCTAGCAACTTTAAGTATGGTGCAAGGAAATGTTTGCACTAGAAAATTGATAGAGAAGTCAGTTGCTAGAATAGAAGTATGCAAAAATTGCTGTACTCTAGGGCTAAATCTTGCTTTCAACTATGAATAGAGGGACTTTCTAAAAGTCACAGCCAGAAGGAGAAATGCAAGCCACTTATGATGATGATGATCATAAGTGATCATAAGTGAACATTGTATCCTTTCCATACTGGAAGAGTTGGCTTTCATCAAGACTTTCCCATCCTAAGCTGGTGGGACAAGAAGGTGGTGTTGGCAGGATGGACCAGCCTCACCCCTGCATTGGACTCGTTTCTGGCTTGAATAATGGAGTGCATACTTAAAACATGAGTGTAAGCTAGTAATGCTGTGCAGGGTGGTGGTGGTACATGGCTTGGTGGTGGACTCGGCAGTGTTAGGTTCATGGTTGGACTCGACGATCTTAAAGGTATTTTCCAACCTAAATGACTCTATGATTCTACACAGATGACTATCCTGGTGGATGTTGATTTCTCTCTCTCTTGGTACTACATGAGCCATTATTGTAACAACCTTGCAGGGCATGGGAAGAAGGGTATTATGGGATTTTAGTGTCCCACAATACTTACAGAACCTGATCCAAAGTCACTGACACTGACTTGCTCCATCCAGTGCTTTCTGACAGCCAGAATTTCTAGGTGTCCTAGAAGGAAAAGGTTTGATGAATTTATAAAGAAATTATTTCACTTCTCTGAAAGGCTGATTGTTAGTGTCCCTACATATCTGATCCTAAATCCTGACTGCTCTGTCAAGTTCACGATGAAGTATTTGCCTACTGTTTATACATGAATTTCTGCAATTTTTGAAGGACAAAAGAGATGTAGCTGTGTTGTGAGTGAATAGAAAGTAAAACCAGGATAGGCTGGTAAAATAAAGATTGAATTTGTAAGCTTGAAATCCGTTTAACTCATCTCAAGTGCAGTACAGTGCAAACCCCCTGATTCAAGGTCTGCTAGTTATGTGTGCCACAGCACTGTCATGATCCATCAAACCTGCCAGATAAAGAGAGGC